ATCTCTTCTGCATTGTCCACATGTGTATCAGTGGACTACTGTAGTACTCTCTTGCAGCTCTCCCTCCCCTGCACGAATAAACAAAGCCCACCCGAGGGCCCCTGCTGTTATAAGTCATTACCTAAATTTGCAAATCAATACATGCAAATGTTAGCAGCCAACCTAGCAAGTTAGTGTTACGGGTCCCAAGCTGGAGTTGAGACCACATGAACAAAAATATGTGACACGCAATCTGTGAAAAACATTAGAAAAGTCTCAGAGGAGTAATGAGTCAGCACTCGTTTCACTTCAGATTGTGTCTGAGGGTCACGGTCAATTCGGTCCCCCTACTACAACTGAGAATGACAACAGTTCCTGCATTTCTTCCTCTGTACTCTCTAAATTTAAACAAGACTACCTTTACTAAATATATACAAATTCTTTCTAAATTACAAACAAATAGTTACACAAATATAAATGCAAACAAAACATATCGGAAATAAGGCACAACAATTGTGGTTACACATATTTGGGTGTACCACATGCTCCCCAACAACAAAAGTGGCTCCTGACACTTAACTTAAACAAAACCCAGTCTCTAAATGTCTTTGCACAAATGTTTCTGGAATGTCTTTTTATCTCTAATGTCCTTAAATTTCTGGCATCTTCACAGGACCATACCATAAGAAGGTAAGTAGGGGTTAGGAGTAAGAGGAGGGGGGTAGAGATGTTGGTGGTAAAGAGAGAGGAAAGGATATGGGGATGGCTGAACGTTGATTGTGTTCACGACGGACGAGTCTGGTAGGTTGGTTGGCCCAAGGACTGGTAGGTGAAGAACGTACTGGGTCGAGGCTGGACTCTGGGCGGAGGCTGGACTCTGACTCCGGACCGGGTAGTGAACTGGGATATACTGCTGGACCAGGGCTTGGTTCCGCGGCGTCTTTGTGAAGCTGAAGCATCTGGTTGTCATTTGGGCATGGTAGGTCTGAATTGCTTCCACTCTCTTGTCGCTCCTCTTCCGTAACTGTATGTCTTGTTTGTCCAAGTTGGCCGAAAGTGTTTTCTACTTGTGTCTGGTTGGGACAAGGGCTGCTTTGGGACTCATGTTCAACTGGGCATTGTCTTTCTTGTAAATGTCTGGGTACTCGTAGCCAGTAAGTTGGCTCTTCTTCAGAGTCGCTTGTCTCCGGACGGTGTTCTGGTGTCTTTGGTCTTTTGGTGGATTCTCTGTTTCTCTTGTGTGGTTCTGCGGCTTGGCTTTGGACAATGTCCACTGACAATCCATCCTTTAACAATCAACTCTTGGATATATTCCTTTACTTCTCTGTAAAGTGGTTTCGGGATGGAAGCATAGGCCCTCTGAACAGGCGTGTCATCTTTGAGTCTGATTTCCATCTGCAGCGAAGGGATACAGCCAATATCACTACTGCTGTGAGCGAACGCCCCATTCTCTTCCATCAATATCTTTTTGACTGATTCTTGCTGATCTGGACTCAGATGGCTTAGGTCAACTGGGGGTAACTATGACTCAGCAGGCATACCTTGAGAAGGGGCGACTTTGGTTACCTCAACTGCGGTGGCTATAGCTTGTATGGATGGAGTTGGCTCTGGTGCGTCTGTGTGCGTGTCAGTCTCAATAACTTTAGCAACGTGCTGAATGGTACCCAGGGCTGTTCTCTTTGGTAGGGTTATTTCGTGTTTTGAGTGGTTGGAGATGGGGATCTTGACAAAAGGCCTTTGTGGGTTGTTAACCCTCTATGCACATGGGTCATTTTGGGGAACTTTCCTCGCCTGGTTTTCTTTGTGTATAATTGTTCATAAAACAGTCATCTTTTGATGCAGAGTCAAGCAGTATACTTTGTTTTTTTCAGTACAACCTGGGGTTTTAGAATATTCATATTGTAAAGCTGTCATATGAATTATATAAAAATTATGGAATCATAAAGACAAAGAAAAAATCAAACGGAAAATCAATTTAACAAAAATGTATTGAAAAAACACAATGAAATGCTATAAACAACTTTTTACACTGCATAGAAATGTTATTTATGGTCTTGGGGATAATGGGGAAAAAAATTGAATCTCTAACTATTATACTTTTTACAAAATTCCACTATAAAAGCAAAAAACTCTGTACTCCTGATGCCCTTCCTGAAGCAGTTTGTCTATAATGCTGGGGTTGCTTCTGTAGCACAGCTGTAAAAAACGTAAAACATAAGAAACTGAGCCAAAAAAACCAACAATCAATTATTTATATAATACATATATATATATATATACATCATATACACATAAGGTCATTTTACTGTATTTATTATCGTCTTTATCAATAATGCGCACTCTTCAGCCGGTAATTGCAATCGCAGCTGTAGTTTCAACTGTGGGACAACAAGTACAGACAGAGGAGTGAGACATCTCACTCTCTGACGATCTTTGGCAGTCCCCGTGTGTTTGTATCTCACAGCTGTTTGTACCTCACAGGTCACGCTTTGGACACGGACTTTCAGGCAAACGTAGTTTATCCTCCGTGCATCGCACAGACAAATCAAAACTAGTTTCGGAAAGCCCTGAATGTGTACTTCACAGAGGAAAAAAAAGTAAGTTGCTACGTTTTACCGTTCGCGAGTAAATTGATCATTTGTAAAACATGTGCGCGTGCATCGGCGCCGATGCACGCGGGCATATCTCCATAAGTCCTTCTCCGATGCTTAGATGTCTCAGTACATTGTTCTCTTCGGGTTCGTATAACACAATGGGTTCAGAAGTGTCAAATTTTTGGGGCACCCTGCACCAAACTTGAACGGCTTTCCCGGCTGGGATAGTGATATTGTCTCTGCCGATTCTCACTATTACTGGGTCACAATCTGTCTTTGGTGGCACTTGTATGAAGTGTACCATAGCCACAACTTGTTCTTCATCCATACCAAAAGCTCTGCGTAATAGACTATACAGCACGGCACTGGCTTCTTCGTCTGACTCTTGCCTTTGAATGATGGCCCCAAGCACATTAGCTCCTACTAGCGGTTGAGGGAGTGACAGTTTGCTCACTAGGAATGGCGCTTGTACGGTTAGATTGGGATCTTCATGACCAGCTAGTGTAACAGTGAGCTCAACCCAGCCATCGTAGGGTACTGCTTGGCCATTAACCGCATAAACTTCAAGTCCATCATTTAGCAGCTCTTGGAGTGGTCTAACTTGATAGTTGGGAATATATCTTTGGATCCATGACCTGTCAACTATACTCACTTGTGAACCAGAGTCAAACAATACTGTTACAGGATAGCCACCAATCAAACACTTAAGGAGACTCTTTTTACCAACTAAGGGAGCTTTGCAGCTTGTGGATGTAGAGCTTTGGCACACGGAGACAAGTTGTGTCTTCTTGTCTCGTTTATTATGGTTCTTTGTGCGCTGTGATGAAGTAGGATTTACTGACTGGGACTGGGGCATTGCTGTGGTCTCTGACTGTCCCCCGACAGAGACCGATTCCAGTTTCCCGGAACTTTGGTTCGCTTTAGGCATCCCACTGCTCGGTGTCCTGGCTCACTGCACACAAAGCAATGATGACATTCTGGCAAGTTCTGTTCAGTACATCTTGGACAAAGATATATTTTGTTTTGGGCTGGTTTGAAGGGTTTGACTGTGGGTCGGAAAGGTAGAGGAGGTGGTGCTTGTGAAGGAGGGGGTTGTGCTGCTTTTTGTTGCATTAGACTGGCAACCATGTCAGTTAAAGTCTTTACTTGGTCAGCAAGTTGTTTGATTGTCTGTGAAGTTTGTTGTTCTTTAGTTATCTTGTCTTGAGTCTCAATCGCGGCACTTTGAGCTTGTGGTGTCTTTTGTCGTGTCACTTGACCCAGCCTACGTTGGTGCTCGTTTTCATCGCTGATTATCTTTGTGACCTCACTAAGAATCTCTTCATCTGTAACGCTTTTGTTTGAGGTGAGGGGTCTTAGCCGTCGTCTCAAATCTGCGTATTTAACACCCAGGCCTTGATAGATTGTGTGAAGAAACACCTCTTGGACAGTTCTCGGATCATAAGAAATGTCTGTGTTCGCCTGCTTTGACTGAAACATAAGCTTCTGTTTGAGTCCGATCATGCGATACAAAAACTGTTGAGGAGACTCTTGTTCTGTTTGTCTCGCACACATTAGTTCTTGGAACATCTCGGTTGTTGCCTTTTCTCCTAGATGTGACCTAAGGAAGCCCTGAAGTTCCGGGACAGACAGGTCGTCTTTGAGCATGAGCATGTCCCTGAATGTTCCAGGCTTAACAATTCTCAGCACAGCTCTAACAATTTCAGCTTCAGCAAATCCTTCTCTGATTCCTTCATTGATCTGCTTTGTGAGACTATTGCAGCTTATTTCAGAGTTATTGTCTCCTATTTGTCCGCCGAACACTTTGAACTCTTTTCGAGGCAAGTAGGAAAGATCTTTGAGTGTAACTGGTCTCTCAGGAATTACTTGTACTCTGGGACATGTCTGTGAGTGACTCTGATAGCTCAGTGTATTAACATGTGCAGGTTGCGACATTTGACATAGTTTTAGTCTCTCACCCAGTGTCTCATAAGCTTTCTTCAACTCCTCTATTGACTGTGTTTCGATGTATGCATTTTCATCAGGTGGCATTGCAGCTGGCTGTGGATCTGGTATGTTGGATGGATGTGGGCTGGCCATGTCAAGTGTTTCAATTTGGTTTGGTGTCAAAGCCAAGTTACTGGTTTGAGTGATTTGGTCTATTAGATCATTCAGCACTAACAGTTCACTTAAGCCCTCATCTTCAAGTTGGAGTAGTTTACTTGATTGCAAGTAGGAAGTAACATAATCCATACAACCCTCTTTATCATCTTGGTTGAACAGTACTGTGTCCTTAGTTTCTACTGCGAGACTCCCTGCAAGCTTGTGAAGATCTGAATCTTTGAGTGTGAATAAACGCCCCCTGATGCTCCATATCAGTTCCTTTCTTTCTGTTGACATTTTGACTGTTTGATTATTGTGTAATAACTCTGTGGTGACTTGAGCACGCTACACTTTCCTCACTGCTGTGCGGTTCCACGTGAAGGCGAAGATCCTTTCCACTTTGATCTCCCTCCTGGACACCCACCGGGAAGTTTGGCTGGGGTAGCGGTCTGGTCGTTGTGTCGTAGTTCTAATATCACTGGATCTGTCCTCGTTGACTGAGTGAGGAGAGATCCCGGACGAGCCCCCAAAGTTTGTTACGGGTCCCAAGCTGGAGTTGAGACCACATGAACAAAAATATGTGACACGCAATCTGTGAAAAACATAAGAAAAGTCTCAGCACTCGTTTCACTTCAGATTGTGTCTGAGGGTCACGGTCAATTCGGTCCCCCTACTACAACTGAGAATGACAACAGTTCCTGCATTTCTTCCTCTGTACTCTCTAAATTTAAACAAGACTACCTTTACTAAATATATACGAATTCTTTCTAAATTACAAACAAATAGTTACACAAATATAAATGCAAACAAAACATCTGAAATAAGGCACAACAATTGTGGTTACACATATTTGGGTGTACCACATTAGCTCCTTCTTTTCAAAACAGGGGCCAATTTCGCTTGGGTTTGCTAGTGTCAAGTATGTAAAATGGGCAGCACGGTGGCTGAGTGGATAGCACTCTCGCCTCTCAGCAAGAAGGTCCTGGGTTCGAATCCTGGTCGGACCAGGGCCTTTCTGAGTGGAGTTTGCATGTTCTCCCCGTGTCTGCGTAGGTTTCCTCCGGGTACTTCAGTTTCCCCTACCACTAAAAATATGTACAATAGATCTGGCTTGCGCCTCCTATACTGGTGATCCCGCTCCCGTCTCTGTGTGGAGCGAGAGGACAAATGCCCTAATAATAACAATTGTAAACCGCTTTGAGACTCCGATGTGCAGTGAAAAGGCGGTATATAAATAAAGATTACTACTACAAATGTGAGATTTCATAACACTTTTAAGCAACTTTTGTTAAGGTTAAACTCATCATTCCATCAATGTGCAGAAGCCTGTACTTTTCCACTTCATGTTTTGACTATCTCTAGCCCTCGCGTCTGTGGTCCTGCCCTCGCGTCTATGGTTCTGTCCACGACGTCTATGGTCCGTGCTCGTTACCAAGTTTCACTGAGGTGTTGTAAAAGCGGCTGTCCGTACAAAGCGGCCACAGCTGCCCTGGGCTCAGAACGGCGGATGTGAATGCCGTTCGAGTGTGTAATGCAAACAACAGAAAGTTCCCGCGGTCACACATTTAACAGAAATGACGTTTTCAGCGGTGAATCGCGGATCCGCGGAACATTTTAATTCCTGGTTTATCCCGATACATTTCATTGATCCAGAGAATTTACCAAAGAAGAGAATTAGTCAAAAAAAAATAAACAGAGCCGCTACAGATGAAGACTCGTGTTCTCGGCCTGAATGGGTTAATGTAATACATCACTTGCCCGATCGGGCAACTTGCTAAAACAGCGCACTTGCAGGTCCCAAATCTTTACTTGCCCCGGACAAGCGGACAACCGTTAATGTCGAGCCCTGCCAAAGGGAACCCTCCACAAGAAAACCTCAAAAACAATTGATCCTGGAGCACTGTTGACAAAACCGTGATCAAAAGTAAAGACCCCATGATGCCCAGTCTTATAGCCACTGGGTCACTAGAAGGCCACTGTGTTACTACACACCGTAGAAGAGTGGGAGGAGAGAGGCATCACACACTTGCAGCACATCTTTCAGGACAACACACTGGTTTCATTTCCCTGCCTGGTCCAGAAGTTTGGCATCAGGAGCACACAATACTTAGAATACCTACAGTTACAATCTTCAATTAACTCAGTATACAAAAACATAAATCTTAACCTCCCCCCAGCAGTCTCAGAGCTGCTAAACATAAGTACAAAAAAAAAACTTACAACTATTATATACAAAATCATTGCTAGCTCAGATCAGACAATATCACTCCCATATAAAAAATGGGAAAGAGACTTAGCGCTTGCTCCTGATGCCAACTTCTGGCCTCACGTTTGTAATAATATCTATAACATGTCCAAAAATACAAATCTACAATTAATACAGTACAAGATAATACATAGTACTCATTTCACAGCACAGAAACTCTCAAAATGTACTTCAATCTCGGATACATGCACCAACTGCACACAAAATACAACAGACACCTACATTCACGCCATATGGTTCTGTTCACCTGTTTTCCTTTTCTGGAGACAGGTGACAGAATCACTCTCTGCCCTCTTGGACTGTCACATCCCACTCTGCCCATCCCTCTCCATTTTGGGAGATACATCATCACTAACACTCAACCCATCAGACACTAAAGTTTTACTGATTGCCCTAACCATCGCCAAGAAAACCATACTCATTAACTGGAAATCAAAAACTAAAATAAGCATTAACCAATGGAAAAATTTACTGTCAGATCTCATGGTAGAGTCACACTCAAACATTATCAATAAACTGTTTCTTTGCCTAACTCCCTCAAGGTCCCTTCTCTCACTCTCGCTTTGACCAACAGAACACCTACATACACCTGAACATTGCTGCCGTTGTCATCTACATCATCACCATTATCATCATCACCAATATATATATAAATAATGTTATTAATAATGTGGCCGGCTCAGGGCCACAACAAATAGGGAGGCGAAACGGGGGTAAAAAGTTCAAAAAGTATATTTAATAATAACAAAAGAGTATAACATGGACAAAAACCAAGGTATGGGGTGTGAGCATGTTGTAATCAGTGTGTGGTGCAGATGTGTGAGTGCAATGAAAGCCTGTGTGTGGTGTGCAGTGAATGTGGTGCATAAACCAAAAGACAAACTCAAATGTGCAACAAAGGAATGGACGTGGTGGCTCAAGAAGAGCCCACCAAGACAGGCCCCAGCCGAGCAGCAGCACCGGAGAACAGGAGGACAGGAGGCGAGGAGGAGAGTGAGCAGCTCTCAGCTCCCAGGTGAAAAAACCCATTGATGATGGGCGTGGCATGGTGCAGGTGTGGACCTGCACAGAGGAGGAGACAGCAGAGAAGGCAGGCAAACCCCAGACAGCTCCCTCTCCTGGACAGTAAGGGCCTGGCCCGTAACAATAATAAAAAAAAAAACCATCAAAATAAATAAACCTTTCCTCGCTGTCATCACCACCAACACCGGTCATCAACTCATTTCACCATAGCCCTGATCCCAGCCACCGTCATCCTTTGTGTTTTTTAATGCACCACACTCTAAATAAATAGAAATTTGAAAAGGGAAAATACATAAACATATACACACATGGCAAGGGATTCAGGACACATGAGGAGAACACTCCCATCATGTGCTTTTTAATGCATCTTAGACACTCACACACACACACAATCATAGACAGCAGATAACAGGCAAAGAAGGCGGAGGCTGGAGTATCTCTTAACTCATAAAACATAAATTAAAATTGGATTAAATAAGGTGGGTGTTGATGATCTAGAGTAGACGATTGAATGTTTTTGTTTTGTTTTTTGTTTTTCTTTCTCTCTAACGCGCACGCACGCACACACACACACACACACACACACACGCACACACGCACAAACACACACACCCCTACCTCCCATATGGTAATGTTTCATGCTGTCTCAATATTTGTATGTCTTTGTATGTCCCCATGTTTTTGTCGCTGCTTCAATGTTTTTGGTATGTCATGGTACCACTTTTGTATGTCTATGTGTCACTTTTGTATGTCTTTGTATCATTTAATTTAAAAAAAAAGAAAAAAAAAATAGAAGAGTGGGAGGAAGAACGTGTAGAGATGGAAAGGATTCAGCAAAGCCATCTGGAAGAGATCCAGAGGTTAAGACAATCCTAAGAATCGTCGGCAAAAAGGAAAGAAAAGAGTTGGAGAGTGTGGTTAGAGAGATGTTAGAGACCAAATATTGCGAGCTGACAGCACTATCTGAAGGCAAGAAGAAGCAAGAGGTGGGCATCAAAAAACAGGTGGAAAACCCAAGTGAGTAAGTAATAAGTGACCTGGACGAATCCGCAAAGAAGCACATTCAAGATCTCCGCAAATATTCAACTATCAAATCCAGAAGACAAAGACAGATGCAGCTGTTAGGATAAGACAACTGGAGGCAAAAATACTGGAACAGCAGCTGAAAAATGTACACGCCTCTGAACAGGACAAAAACGTGTCCAGGTGTTATTAAGACACCAATAACCCAAACAAAATCCCCTAACCCCCATTCCCATTCCCAACTCCTGATAGACCTTCTTAACAAAGACAACATAGACTGAAGGTTGTCTTACTTCCATTTCAAACAAACACAAAAGATCTCAATTTCACAGGAACAGCACAATTTGGCGGACCTCTCTGCTCACTCTCTGGTCTCTCTCTGGTCCCTCTATCTCTGTTCTCTCTCTCTCTGGTTTCTCTCCCTCTGGTGAAGAGGGAGAGACTAGAAAGGAGGAAGAGAGACAAGAGAGCTCTCTTCTCTCTCTCTCTCTCTGGTCATATCAAATCAACATTTCCCATAACCAGAAGATTTGGTGTATTTGCCTGTCATGATACTAACATTGGGCCTGGTCTCCTAAGTGTGAGGCCTGAGCACCACTGTAATGGGAGATCTATTGTTCCCAGACACTTTGCCTTGTGTGAATGTTGTGCGTGTGTGAATGGCAGGTGGTGGTAGGAGGGGCCTCTATGGAAGCCTCACTTGCGGCAGATTACCCCAGGGCAGCTGTGGCTAGTAGCTCACCACCACCGCGTATGGAATGAATGATTGGTGTGACGTGTTACATGAAATAGGAAACTTTAGTTACAATCGAATGCAATAGTTTGAGGCAGCAGCAGCACTTTGGTGTCATGACCGGCACTTGATAAATGCCACAGAATCGCTAACAATGGCTACAAATTTGGTTTAGTTTAGTTTTCTTGCCATTCAGAGGATCTGGCTCCAGAAGCTTGAGTTTGATTGGTCGCGGTTGACCTTGAGATTCAAAGAAGAAACCGGAATAGAATTTAAACAGAAGTGGAAGTCATCTTGAAAATGGTCTACAAAGAAGTTGGTCCTCCGACCGAATGTTTTTTCACAATTTTCTTGTGGGCGGGACCACTCGCGGCCATTTTGGATAGCTCCAGTAGAGCACTATTTTTGGCCCATTTGTTTGAACCGCGGAGATAGGCGTGACTGTGTCCATTAATATTTACAGCCACAGCAGGACCCAAGTCTGCTCTGGTTTTTAGTCTAGACCTGGGACAGTGCAAAAGAAGTCGGTCGGAGGACCAACTTCTTTTCGTTTAACTTTCAGGTTTGTAGTCATACCAAGAAGACGGACTATTCTAAATGTGTTGTTTTAAAATTCTTACTCTACATCTTGTCCCACAGTCAGAAATATATGTTCTTTAGAGTATAAATAAAATTGAAGTTGACATCACCTCTAATGTCACATTTGCAAATGTCATGTTCAGTATGTAAATTCATTCACACAGTTCTGCGCATGCATTCAGTATATTACTTGTAAACTGTGAGGCTATTTACTACAGCGTGAGTATGCATTTATGGAAATTGAAAAAGAAAAATGTAAATAAAAGTTAAGCACTTTCCTGAACATTGATGAACTACTTTACTTTTTGAATATTCGTTTTAATTCCAAGGTTTTTCTGTTACCATTGTTCGTGTGTTATTATCTCTTTTACCCACTGAGGACTCTTCTTATTTAGTTCATCATGCAACCTTAAAATCCAAGTTTATTGTTATTGTTTAGGAGTGAATCTTAAGCTGATCCCACAGCTGTTCTGAGGTGCTCCCCCTTTACTGCCATCTGTTCTTAGAAGAAAAAAAAAACCCCACAAAAACTCTCAGTGTGGCATCAGCTAAATTATTATCTATAACTCTAAAGTGTGAGCATTCTTGCATATACTGTATTTTTATCAACCCCGATAAATCAATCAAAATTGAATAAGAACACATGTGCTGGGCTAGGGAGACCCAGTATGTGGCCCCCGGGTCGCAGTTTGACCACGTCTGTTCTATACATTTGTGCAGCATGAAAAAACAGGAACAGAACCAAATGTGTATGTATCCTGTCCCTCGTTTTATTGGTTGCGAAGAAGGAACAATGTTGAAACATGGTTGAAACCAAGTCCATTTACATAATAGATCTGCTTTAAGCAATTTTCCAATGCTCATCCAGCAAAGAACCACCCATTCTTTCAGCGACGGCTCCCTAAACACCAACAAGTGAAAGTCTTAAGCCCACACAAGTTTGAAATCAGCACTGCTTTAGTAACCCGTATTCACAGGTGCATTAAGACATTAGAGAGAAAGACCGAGACGGCTGATTGTGTGGAGAGGATGGAGCCGAGGAATCTTTGTCAGGGGTTGATCACAACTAACTGCTGTTGTGCACAAACAATCAATGACACCCACCGAGCGGCATTTTCAACACTGCTTCACAGAGAGAAGGGAAGCGTGCCCCAGGGGAACCATGGAACGCCAACACATACTTTTCCTACTGAAAACACTGTTATCTTTCATCAGGACTTTAAAAACTTTTCCTCAGGTTGTAAATGGTTTATTTAGACCAACGTTGTATATTATCTTGTATGCCAGAATGTAGAGATGTTGCAAAAGAAAGTTCATTATTGATCATTTAGTATCAGCTAGGGATGCACGATAATATCGGTGTCCAATAATTATCGGCAATTATCGGCAATTTTGACGTCCAACCGATAAGTTCGATAGTAAGAAATCAACCGATAAAATGCGCCGATAATAGCAAAGACAAATCATCTCCGTTTTGCCTCTGAGCAGTCTGTCGTGGCTCGCGCTCCATGCTCTCTCCTCAACCCCCTCCACTCCGTAAGGGAATGTCGCATATTTGTTGCGTCACCAAGCCGCGCTCTTGTTTACAAAGAAAAAGCATAATGACGTGGCAGTCACCAGTGTGGGGATTTTTTTCCGTGTCTGACCAAGACAACTCTCTCGCAGTTTGCAAAACGTGCTCTGCAGAAGTTCCACGTGGAGGAAAAAGGTCGACGGGCTTCAACACAACAAATCTGATAAGTCTCAGAGGCCACACTCCCCATGAAGACCCAGACTCTGACACCATTGGACTTTTGGGCAAAGAACAAAAGCCGTTTTCCAGACTTGGCCCAGCTTGCGCGGAAATACCTGTCTGCCCCTTGCACTAGCGTTGACAGCGAACGCTTATTTTCTGCTGCTGCAAATGTAATGGATGAAAAACGAAACAGGTTAGGATGTGAGAAGGCAGAGATGATACCCTTTGTTAAGAAAACTCTACCACTGATCCGATTTTTTGAAAAGTTATGTTACTTGTTGCTATTTTGCTAATGTTATACATTGAATATTATGGGCCTATTTCTATTGGCCTCATTGTTCTACTTAGTAGTAGTAGTAATAGTAAACTTACTTCATAAGTTCTACTTAAAGCTGCACTAACTGACTTTGGGATTTTGAAGCAGCAGACTCGCTGGCCTCTCTCTTTCTGCTCCCCTCCCCGCACCCACGAACCTATCGCCCCCACACACACCCACTGTTGGGACGAAGCTAGCGTCTCCCAATATGGATAATACATGGACATGGATTTGCACGTGGATGGCATGACCATAGAACGATAGAACCGGGAAGCGCGGAGGAACGAGACTTTCTTTTGGATGGCTGTCTTGCTGTGTAAGCAGTAACCGGTGATGAAGAGACGAAGCTTCAGGTTAGCTCCGCCGCTTGTTGTGCTAACTTAGCCGTCTATGCTAACTGAGACCTGTAGATTTCTCACAAAAGTGGGGGCCAGTGGTCCGCGGTAATTGGTCACAATCCGCGACCCGAAACACATTCTCTTCCTTGTTTCATCAAAACTCGATCTAAAATATAATGTCACGCCAGCACAAATCTGCGCTACTTTTTCGTCAAAAGGACGTATATCCCAATGCCCTACACGGACATGGATAGCATTTTCGTAATGAATACAAAAATAAAGTCAGTTAGTGCAGCTTTAATATATTGCACTGATAAAGCCTTTGAAGCAAGAATATAAATTAATAAATTCCAACTTTTTACTCTACAAAGTGATTCATTGTTATATGTATAGGTCAAAAATAAAGCAGGAGATAGGTTTGTATTAAAACTAAAGTCAATTAGGCAAAGAATTATCGGCTGACATTATCGGTTATCGTTATCGGCAGACATACAATTATCGGTTATCGATATCGATTCAAATTTGCATTATCGTGCATCCCTAGTATCAGCACACATACATTCAAAGAGAGGAAGAGAAATGTGACTTAAATGAAAAGAGCTTACATGTATTTTGTGATGGTTACTAAAAGTTTGTTTGGGCCTAATCAAAAAAAGCTACAATCTTGAAATTAGTGTTGAAATCTTAAGCCATACTGTGTGAATGTGAGCTATTATTTTATATTCTGATCATAGACTGTATATATTAACGGACAGAGTCACGCCTACCTCCGCCGTTCTAACTAATGGGCCAAAAATGTGCTCTACTGGAGCAATCCAAAATGGCCGCGAGTGGTCCCGCCCACAAGAAAATTGTGAAAAAACGCATCTGCGCATGTGTCAGCCGGCGCAGCTCCATTCATTTGAACGAGAGCCAACTTTTGGTCCCTCCTGTAAAGACGTTTTTGAGAGGTCTGCCAATGCTATATGTTAGCATTGGCTAATTCTTCTTCTGGGTCGACCCCCATCGGCCCGGGGTGGTATTGCAAGCATGTCAGCGCACGTCATTTTTGCCACTTTTGAGCTGGGACCCTCCCCCACTGATTCTGATGACCTGGGCCTGATTTTCCACCTCCTACAGTTTGTTTACAGCTCCTGGTTCAGCCTTTTCAATTCTGGGGCAGCTTCACACTGCAAAAAATATAAAATATTAGGTAATAATTGCTTGAATAGGATGCTTTTCATCTTGATTTGAGTACATTCAAAATGTCCATCCATTTTCTTCCCCTTAATCCATTTCTGGGTCGGGGGGGTGGCAGTCAGAGCTGCACCCAGGACACAGGGCACCAGCCCCTCACTGATCCTCCTGCAGGTGGTGAGTCCACAGGAGCTGAGATCTTTCAGTGGGGGCTTCAGGCAAAGTGGGGTTAAGTGTCTTGCCCAAGGACACAACGACAGCAGTCATCAGTGGGAGTCGTGAAATAGGTCTTACGGTGGGCTCGAACCCACGACCTTCAGGCCCAAAGGCCAATGCCTACCAACTGAGCTACTGTCGCCCTACATTCAAAATTTCTTAAAACAATATTTTGCCGATGGGACAAGTTTTTTTCTTGTATTTCTGAAACAGAAAATGTTTTCTTGTTCCATTGGCAAATCTTATTTTAAGGCAATCAAAATATGCTCATATTAAAATACATTTTGCCAAATTTTTGCAATTTTTGCAGTGCAGAAAAAGATAGTGTCCATTCTAGGTTCTGATCCACCCTTGGTCCTGGTATTACCCCCTCTGCAATGGTTGATATCAATAGCCACAGAGATCTTTTGCTTTTCCATCTCAATGATTATTACGTCCTGCTCTTTGAGATAGCTGCTTTCCAGAGCTGTTTTTGTGTTGGTGAGTTCTTGTTTTGCCTTTGACCTGTTGAGCATCAATGACCTTCTGCAACTCTGAGTCCTTCTCTTTCATTACCCTCGTGATTGTCCAGCTTGGCCCCTCGCTCCTGCTGCTGTCGGAGCTGCATGACAAGATTATGTTCCTCTGCTTTGAAGGCCGGCGAGCTTTCAGGTCGAGGGTATCTGGACCTCGGGCTCTTGATCTCCTCCTGATAGTGTGGGGTTGAGTAGAGCCTGCAGGTCAAAGTCTTCATCACAGAGGCGGTGATCGTCCCTTTTGCTCTGTAGAGGTACCAAGAGCATCATAGTGAGTGAGAGAGATCGGACTGGAGATAAATGTGTGTGCCTGTGCTTTTATCTGTGTCTGGAGCTGAAATGTACTCAACTCCCAGGTTTACTCGCTGATTCCGGTCTATGGCATAATCTTTAACTACTGTTAGCTTTCGGTCATGCAGCTTTATCTGAGTAATCTCCCAAACAAAGCCGCATTCGATAAGCGTCGGGAGAAATGGTTCTCTACATTAGAATAGAATAGGTCATCTTGTCTTTTTAGTAGATCAAGTTAATCTGGTTCTACTATACTGGAGAAATGTAAGCAATGTCAATACCTGTATCAGTCTCTACTCAACATCGGCACTTGTCACCTAATTTTACAATCGAGAGTGAAACATGCAAAACTTTGAGAAATCATTAGTATTAACTATTTTTTTTATCACAATTCATAGACCAAGGTCCATCCATCCATCTTCTTTCCCTTAGTCCTTTTGTGGGGCGAGGGGGTGGCAGTCAGAGCTGCAGCCAATACGCAGACCACCAGCCCCTCAAGGATCCTCCTGCAGGTGGTGAGTCCACAAAATGGCTGCTCTGTCAGTGAGCCTTGACCTTTCAGTGAGAGCTTCAGGTAAAGTGGGGTTAAGTGTCTTGCCCAAGGACACAACGGCAGCTGACATCAGTGGGAGTCAGTGGAGAAGGCCAATGCTCTTCCAACTGAGCCACAAGGTCACACAAAATTTACTCCACACAGAGAAAAGAGAAGCAATACGCCAAACACACTGACCGTTACTATCCGTCCACTCAATCGCTACATTCAGACCTATTGTATATGTTTTTAGTGGTAGGGGAAATTGGAGAACCCAGAGAAAACCTATGCAGACGTGCTAGAACATGCAAATTCCACACAGAAAGGCGGTGGAGGTGGAATTAAATCCATGACCTTTGCTGTGAAGCATAAGTGATAACCACGGCGCCACCATTCTACCCTGGGATTGTTTTGATACTTTCCACTTGATAAATTTTTAGGCCGAGACAATACGAAGTATTGGGGAGGCCTATTGTTATTCACCGGTTTCATATTATTATTATTCTTTTACCGCCGAAACAATTCGATTTTTGACCCTGAAGACATGCACAAAAGTCTGCACATGGGGGGTCTAAAACGACCGGTCCGGCGAAACATTTGATAAAACGGACGTTTCGAGATTGTCCGACAAAAGGCGAATCAATAGCGCCCCCTTGAAAATTCAAAATTTGCCATTTCGATTGGAGGCAGGATTGCATATTTTGGAGTAGGTACACGAAATTAGAATTAGAATGAATTCAGAAATACAACGTATGACCCTGAACACAACGATATGCAACATACAACTGTGAGTGCAACAGCGCCACCTACAGGCAGTTCAAGGTGTCGCATTTTTGGCTTCGTACTAGTCCCTGGATTTTCAGCGCACAGACTTCTACCATGTCATTTCTCCATCTGGAAGGATTGAAGTTATGCAATCATTGCATAAAAGTTAGAATTTTGTTATCGTTTTCATGCGAGGTAGTGGGGAATTTCTCCATGTTTGATGCTCTCCTGACCACAGGCTCAGACCTACAGAGCTGAAACTCACATCACTAACAGTTGGTAATGACCTGAGAGTAATGGTGTGAAAACACACACCTAATATGACTCTACAGCGCCACCTATGGAAGGCTTCTGACCTAAACTTTTCCGATCTTCACCAAAGTTGCAAAATCAAATCTTTACATCTGTACGAGCAAAATACTACTCTACATAGAGGGTGCATGTCCCGGAGGTGACCACTAGGGACGCACTTTATCATATAAATGAGCTTTTATATACGTAATCCTGGTCAGATTGGGCTGCCAATTCGTCGGCGTGACGCTTGTGGGACTGGCGCCCAGGAGGCGGTCGCAAGAGGGGCGAGGCCTTTCATCGCCGCTTGCGGCTTTAATTATTTTTATTTTTTTTATTCTTTATTTTCAACTGTCAGAAAATAATCAGTTTAACATAAAAATACAAGATACACTTACATAACAAGTGTACCACCCCACCCTCCCTCATCCCCCATTCACTCACTCACTCATTCCAATTGTCTTGTGAAAGGTTTTGTCTGTATTAATTGTCCCGTTTAAGGACTTATTAATTATTATTATTACATATATTTCCATTGAAGAAAAAGTAAAATAAAATAAAAACAAAACAAAAATAAAAATAAAATAAAGATGGACATTGTCTGCACTTCACAAATTGTAAAAGGATTTTGATGGTAAAATAAAATAAATTCCTTACCAGGTCAAGTCCAGGCGGTTTCCACACACCTACATTTACGTACAATAAACATAGTAACATTTCAAAATAATCTTTTCAGAATCTCCCATCCATTTGTATATTTTTTGGCTTCAGCATCAACCATATAACTTTGTAAATAAAAAAAATTCTGAATAAACTTTTTAAATTCGCCCATATTGAGTGAATATCAATTTTTGGTCTTAAAAATAAATCTTTTACCAAGCACAATAATTAAATTAATTAGATAGATGTTTGTAAATGCAGACAATATTATTGTTTGGTGATCTGCTGGGTCCGCCATCAAATCTACAAAGTTATGATAAGCTTGAATGCTTCTCGGCAGACAAATCGAATGCCTGTTTTATGCTTGCCTTTAAACTAACAAAGCACAGAACGTCAAAGGTCACCTCAAAACGAAAGCATCCATTCCCCATAATCGTAGTTGATAAGGACTAATGAGCTGCTACCAATAGTTCCCTAAACAGCCTTCTTTTTCAATCTATCTCCATTACATCATGTATCATGAGGCATACCTTTTCTAGCGGCTTCCCTTCAGAGAACATAAACATTGTACTTTCACACTTTCCTACACTATACCAAACATCTCTGGGCTTGTACGGCTGAAACGCCAACCTGCCGACAGCCTTACATAAATCAGCCGCGCCCCCATGTGTCAAAAAGTGAGTGAAAAAAAAAAAAAAGTTGCTATTTTAGAGAAGAACAGCTTTCAATACAGTGGCGGCTTTGGAGGTCAATTATGGTCGGCCATCAATTTTACACACACTTAAACGAAGTGCCGGTGCAGGTCGTAAAGCACGCCCATCTGCTGCCCACATCCGTCATCTTTACAGCAGACCTCCCCCACCCCAGACGCTTCCTTCAGGTCTCAGTCAAGATGTCATGACGATGCTTAAGGATAGCAGAGCGAGGAGGGGCTTGTGAGTTTGTGTCTTTCACTTATAGGAGAAATCAATGAAACTCTGTGGTTCTCCCAGAGGTTTCTCACTTTTCTCCCACTGGGTTTAGAGTCTTTCCTTGCCGATGCAGGAGGGTCTGTAGTTGTCTAACAAGAAGAACTGTGGTGATGATCCAGAACACTCTAATGGGGCGTTCAGACAGGATCATGGGTTGCGGCGACTTTCAATGCAAAGTCAATGGTGACGTCCATTCACGCATTTAAACGCATATGCGTCGTGGCACGTACACACAAAGCACGCAACAGAGGCGGCATTGCGACGCGGCTGCGGCAAATCGACGCAGGCAGGAGATTTTAACCTTTTCCAGCGGTCACACGTGCAAAACAGGACTAAGCCAGGATTGACAATGGGGGACACAGTGCTCGTGAACATATGCCTCCAGCCTGAGTTCTCGTTCCCCCGTGACAGTAAGCAAGTGCTACTAACGTGTTTGTCAATGCTGAAGTACTATTTATTAATAACATCATGAACTTATGGCGCATTTCCGTGAACACAATGCTGTTATATGAAGTCTCTGGAAGGTCTTTGGACTCAGAAATGCTGCAGAGCTGCATTCTTGGGGAAGAACGCCCCTAGCGTCTTAAATTTAGAGAATGTGCCTCCAGTGCCCGTGGAAGATGCGTTCAAGCGTCGGCGGTCTGAACGGCCCATAACGTTCTACAACATTTATGGATATTTATCAACATTCATGGACATTGATCAAACTCCCCCTACCGACCAACACCTATGTATTCTATGTTTTTTGTGTATGAACCGTTTGATTCTTTGATCTGTGTTGGCGATTTCAACTGTTTTGTTAAGTCCTCTGACTACTGTTGTGATTTAGGGCTATACAATAATTAATTGAATCTAATTGAATGTAAGTATCTTAGCTGTCTGCTCCTTGTTCCTACTGTTCTGTAAACTTGTGCTGCAACACTAAAACTTCATCTTAAGATCTTTAGATCTGTACTCAGATCTGTACTAAGGCTAAAACTATGAAACAAATCAATCAAATTAATCAATTAAAAAAAAGCTGCAATTACAATACCTTGATTAATGGGCTATTTTTCTTCAACTACTTGTGAAACCGCTACATCAGCTGCACATAACTAATTTCATTGCTGCTCGGAAGACTGATTCAAGAACTATGTAGTTTGAATTAATTTCATGATCGGGAATAATACATTTTTATTTGTCTAAAATACATAATTAATACACAGAGTGTTGACTATAATAATCCATAGCTACAGCCTGAGCTCAAACAAAAGCTATATTCACATTTCTAAACAAAAACATACCACAACAACTTTCTTTTCAGTTTAAGTCAATGCATTTTTTTTTAGCCCTAAATCACAACAGCAGTCATCGCAGAGGTCTTTACAAAGTTGCCAGAGAATCAAACAGTTCAAAAATGCAATAATAACAAACACATAGGAGCCATTGGGTATTTATGACCACTGTTCATAAATATCCTGGATCATCGCTGTCTGTGTAGGAATCCTCTGGGTGCTGTGTTTTCCCCTACCACTAAAAACATGCACAATAGGTCTGAATGTAGTGAGTGAGTGAATGCATGGCGTTGTCTGGGGGCTTTGATGTGCCAGTGTGTTCGCTGTCTCGCTTCCATCATCACTGTGTGGAGAGAATGGAAAAAAATCTGAACCCTGAACATTGTAAAGCGCTTTGGGTGACCTTGTATCAGGGTGTGGATTTTATTTTTTAA